TTTTTTTTTTTTCATTCCCTTGTATTTTACTTTTACTTTTTTTCATTTTTTAAGTACTCTAATCAAAAGTATTAATGCACGACAGAATGTTTGTTAGTCTATTATCCATCTATAATAGCCATTGTACTGGATTGATGTTGCTCTCCCCCTCAACCTATACTTCCATTCGAATCAGTTCTAATAATGCCCGCTATGTTACGCTTAGACGCTTTATGATATTATAGTTATATCAGTTACCTTAGTTGTTAATGTTGGTTTTGACACCATTTTACGTTAATATTAAACAACACAGTTTCAACCAAATGTAGCTAGAATACTGGCCGTGTATTGCATTGTATTGTATYTTGGACATCATTCAAAGAAAGATTATTCAGTAGAGCACGTGCATGTTACATCATAGCCACCATGTTGGTTGACRGTAATAAAGCATTCCTCATCTCTTGTTAGATCAACCAACATAGCGGTTGTTTCATTGTTTTTTATATCTCAAGGGGTTTTAAGTCATAGGGTTGCACACACTGTATACACCTATTTCAAAAAAGGTTGTCATCGCCAAAGGCGAAAAGCGAWATGTCATTCCACATGGAAATGATTTCGTTGAATACAAAGAACATTAAATCAGTCTCAACATTAAGGTCCATACTCTTGACGAGAATAAGAAGCAGAAACACAAGTCATTCCAGCTATTCTTGGACCTCGGAATGAACCTATCTATTGCTTTTCGCTTATTGCCTATCGCCTTTGGCGATGACTACTATATTTGAAATAGATATATACGTAAGTCTTTACGGAATTTTGACGCAGAATTTTGAACTTCAATCAGTCTAACATAGAACCTTTGTTGGAAAGAACTTAGCCTCCCAATGAAATAACGGTTTATTAARTTGACACATCTTGTTTTCACACATACTAGGGAGGCTTAGTACTTTTCTGTATAACATTTGTACATTATTTATTTCAAGGGGTCAGAGTAGCCCGAGTAAAGCGCAACTCCAATTTCACCTATGACATCATGTTTTTCAAAAATCCCAAAAATAACGATTTTAAATTTTAGTCTGGCATGAGGARCCCAAATAATGCTTCTCAGTTTATTTTCACCAGATCAAATGTTGATACTSTAATGAATGAGATCTACAGTGTTTGCTTCTAGATTTGTCTACAATACGCAGGAAGCAATTTCACTGTCACTTGGAAAAATCTTTTCTCCAARAATATGGCAAAAGCAAAAAAACAGCCGGGTTTAATCTGAATAATGTATATTCCTAAGACAGCTTKCAGCTTTCTATTTTCGTGTTTGTTATTGGTCAAACCTTTATTAAGTTTTACTGAGCTAGATTAAATAAATCGGATGRTTCAAACAATTTATATCAGTCGAACTAAGTAAAAATAAAATTTAGTGTCAAATTGATTTTTTCATGTCACAACCTCAATTGGAAAACACCAAGGAAATTTGGATAATTTTTAATGGTTTAGCACACAAATTGCATGTCCGATTTCACCACGAATAGGTTATTTCTCTTAATAATATTACAATTATTTTCGCTTGTCATTAGAATTAATTTCCCTTGGACCAACTTTTTTCATTAGGTATAAATATAGAATTCAAATTTGCTCGGAACAATTTTTTTGTTTTTTTTTTGTTTTTTTGTATATGTGTAATTGGCCAGCAATCGGTAGAAGCGAATCCGTTTTTCAATCTTCGATAAAGCGTTTAACCAATCTTGCCTTGTTTTTGATTTCTTAAATTTGTGTAAAAATAGAAAAGCTATTTTTCTCCTCGGCGATTTTTGACCTGTTATTTCCTCGAAAGACTATTTCATTTTTAGAAATTTTTTTCCATCGTAGATGCTCAATTCCTGAGTTCTAGGAGGCCTAGGCATTGTTACATTAATGTCAACAATTTGTTTTGACGAACTATATAATTCTAACACGAAGAGAGGACTTTCGCTCATWGCGCTGGACATTACTGTAAAAACTAGTTCGACTTTCAGAAGAATCTTTACTCTTCAAATTCAATTCTTAACCAARAAAGTTTTTTAATTTTTCAGTGTCATTTGTTGTCGTTAGTTAATTTTTCAAAAAGTTGTTTTAAAACGAAGGGCAAAAACCTCAGCTGTCTCAGTTTCCTATTCACTATGACTGACTAAAYAAACAGCCACTTCTGTTTTCTTGCTTTTCTTGTAAACACTCCTACATGAAAAACAAATTAACAATCATTCCGTAGAATTACACAATTTGGCCGGGAAATGGCTGAAACTGGAGATACCATTAATAACTCTAAGATATAATAAACAACTGTAAAAAATGGATACGAGGTTGAAATTAGAAAACGTACTGTGTTGAATGATTCGTCGTAATTATCAGACAAAGTGATTTCTTTCCTTCCGACCTTTACTGTCAGAGATACAAGAGAACAGCTGCTCAAGTTCAATCAAAACTTTCTTTTTTAACGAAAATTGTTGACTTGTTGAGCAAACAGCGGCTTGTGTCGGCAAGACGGACTCATTTTACAAAAAAAACTGCTTTATTTTACACCGAGAGAAAAAGAAAAACAAGTTATACGATTACTGGTACAAGTGGTAACATCTTTGACAGGATTTCAATGCTGGCKTACTAAAGGCGTTGAGTTCTAAGTTGGAGTTTCGCTAAAATAAGTATTGCATTAAGCRACACAAATTTGGTCAGTTTAACTTCAACAGCATCAAATATGACCAACGCAGAGACACAGTACAAAAGTTGGATGGAAAAGCAACTACACTACAGTCATCTCTATACCATTCTTCTCGTTACAACTGCCGTTCTAACTGTCGTGCCGAACTTTTTCGTCATCCTCGCAGTAATCAAGGACCCCAATCGCAACTTACGCAATTCATCCAATCTTCTCATCGCCAGTCAATCCGTGGCGGATTTCTTCGTTGGTGCTGTACAAGAAATGCTTTGCATCTGGTGGTTCTGGACGTTTGRTCATAACGCGCTCCGTGTCATTGAGATGACGAGCTCAGTGTTCATGGTCGCATCAATACTACATGTGTTGGCGTTAAGCTATGATCGTTATGTCGCTGTAGTTACACCCTTATTGTACACAGCTCGCATGACAGTGAAGCGCACCTATATCAGTAGTGCTGTTATCTGGAGCTACAGTGTGCTCTACATGGCCATCCGAACTGTCCTTCAAGAAGTCTTCCGGAAAAAACGAGCAGTGACTATCCTGACGGGTTTAAACACTGTTTTCCCTGCCTTTCTTGGTCTAATCATCTACGCAATGTTGTACCACTTTATTCGTATGTACAAAAAGAAAGCTCACAAGTTAGACGCGTCGGGACGCGCGGTCATGCAGGCTTACCTAAGACACCGAAAAATGACCTATGTACTAATGACAGCTTTCTTTTTGTTTTTATTCTGCCTGACGCCTTGGTTCGTGTTTTACCAGGTCATTGATTCTTGCCCTAACTGTGAACATAATAAAGACGTAGAGATGTATCTGTTCGTATGKTTTTTTTACCTTTTCATGTTCAAATCTCTACTCAATCCATTCCTCTACGCCTGGAGATTGACCAAGTACAGAAATGCTATCAGCCGTATTGTGCCATGTTGTAGGATACCACGAAGGGTAGCTTCTGCAAGCGAAGGTTCTTCTGCAGCACGGAATGCAAGCTTCATGCGCAGTGTACATAGAAGTCATAGAGATATGCAAAACAATGCGTAGTTGAACAAGACGTTRTTTACTTCAACATACAAYGTTCAAAGGCTRGTTGTTAATAGCGRCCRCAAACTACAGCATAGCTTATTGAASATAATAATAATATRATATATATAAACGTAATAAATGATAAGCATCAAATGATTTGAAGACAATTAATATCAAATTAAGATGAAGCGTACATATCTAGAAGACAGACTCTCACCGCTAAGTGTAGATAGACAGGTTGAGTAATAGGTGATGTAACTAARAATACTGCTGGTGACCAGATACCATGGTAGATCTAGCACCAAAATATATGTATAAATAAATGTTGTTCCATAAATTAATGAATATGAAAACACACAGTTTTTCGACTAAATCAAAAAATCCTATCTCTAAAACGGTAATTCTGGGCGTTCTTTTTGGTCAAAAAGCATGGA